GGCATAGCTGGGTCCCATTCTGGTGCCCATGGCAACTCCACTGACCTGTTGGTAAAAAAGATTATTGAAAGAGAATGCGTTCAGTGTGAGGACCATAATATATGATATTATGTACAGTATGTGATGAAAACTAAAAACCTAAATGTTTACTTATATTATTCAGAAGCACCCACCCCACCCTCCCTAATTCAATTCTTGACGGTTGTACCTTCGGCAGAAATTACAGCTGTGAGTCTCTCTTAAGATACTGTAGATCTTCTCCCACTTTGCACAGTATTATTGCCCATTTTGTCTTTGCAGAAGTGCTCAGGCTCGGTCCGGTTGGTTGGGGATCATTGAGGGACTGCAGTATTAAAGTCTTGCCACCTGGAGAAGACTCCCTTCCTCGTCCATCTGCTCACGGGAAACTCCGTTTCAGGACTCGTCAGCAAGCCATGGAATTCTAGCCCGATCTGGCAGAAAAATATCTCCCAGAACTCGGCTATTCCCCCCAGGGCTCCAAGTCTAATCTGCTCCCCCTCTCCTTCCCCAACTTCCCATGCTTCTCATCCATTTCTCCAGCAGCGAAACGTGTACACTCTGGCTGGCCGCCTCACTCAGCCCCCCTTGTCCTCTGTCTCCCCAAGCCCACCTGCCCCCCAACTGCACGTCTCAACTGCACCAGTCCACTTCCAGCAGGTGAGTCCTTCTTTGGCCCCTTCCCCCCATTTTCCATCCCAGAGCAATGTTGTTCCGCAAGAGCCCTGCCCCGCTGCTGCCCCTCTTAGCCTGCGGTGTCAGAACAAGTCGGGTCTGGGCTCCTAGTTCACAGCCTTTACTGCCCCCTGCTAATGTGCTAATGTACTGTGGTCCCTGTTCCTTTGGGGGTCCCAGTTGTGGTCTAGGATATGGAGATACTGTATAGAGTAAGTAGCACAGGCAGAGAACTCAAGAACAAAACTAGGGATCAGAGCAAGGGTTCAGTTGGGGGACAGAGCCCCATGTAATACACAGTCAGGACTTACAGTAAGTAGCCTGATTCACCTGAGACAGAAGTGGTGGTAACTTGTGCGCAGGTGGAACAGGCTTCCTGTCTGATCTTGTAACCATAGCAAAGAGCTGACAGGTGAGTTGAGACTCCACTAGTTGCCATGGTAACACTAGCTCATTTTATGGTTCTCCAGCAGGGACGGGCTTGACATCCTGTTGATATCCGTTCCATCCTTAATGGTCTGTACTTAATTCCAAACACCTTATTATCACATTTCCTTAGCAAGTCATTCAACTTTTTCTTCATTCTGGCATGATAGTTTGGAAAGATTGGATCAATGCAGACATTTGTTTTCTAGTACATGTGCAGACAAACTACAAACAGCAAGAAAGCAGTCATTAGTCTTGTACACCAATTCAGTTTCTGCTACTGATATTCCTATTTTTTCCTAATCTATATGAGGAACATTAAAATATACCATCAAATGTACTTCTTCCTTTGCACATATGTTCTGTGTTACACATATGTTTATTTAAAATCGAATTATAACTGATATCAGACATGGGTTGTAATCTTTAATACTATGGCATTTTAATACTTTTATGTGTTTGATCATTATAGTATATCATTTCTGAGACAAACCGTTCATGTAGGTTAAATTCCCCTACCTGGTTGCTCTTGCTAATGAAAAGTGCTGTAATTGGCCTTCATCCATTTTTCCTGAATGTCGGAACACTTTATATCCATTAAGACCATATTCGTCACATCACATGTCCATATTTCAGGATTTCATCCTTGTTTCTGTGATTCCAATGACACCATAAGCAGATGTTCATGCGGCAGCTTCGACACTATAGTTTCCTATGAAAGTTTAACTGGTTTTCTTTATTTTTTTCTAATTGCAGTCTCCATCAGCATAATGGACTTCCAAAAAATGCTGCTTAAAATAGATCAGTGCCTCAGCAGGGAGGAGGCAGAAACCATGGTGTTCCTGTGCAAAGACCTGCTGGAAAAAGACCTCAGCACAATCACATCCGCCAGCGATCTCTTCACTCACCTAGAACAACAGGGCCTCTTAGATTCGGAAGACCTTTTCATCGTACCAGAGCTATTGTTCCGGACCCGGCACTTTTCTCTGCTGAAAAAACTGAAGTTGACTAAAACTGAGGTTCAGGATCTTTTGCCGAGGAAAGGGAAAATTTCAAATTACAGGTGAGATGTGTGTACATTTTGTGCTGATTCTTCAAGTCCTGATCAGAGAGCTTCTGCTTTTTGTAGAACAATTTTTGTATAGGGGAAGAAATGCAATGTATGTAAGGACAGCAGCTGCTATTGACTCCCAGTAACTAACATTGACATTATGTTTATAATACAGGATGCGCTAACTGTTGAATAAGGAAATGGAATTTAGCCTGGTTAACGTATACAAAGGTGTGTTAAGGAGTGGAGTAAATTAAAGATAGACTTGATTTCCATTGACTTGACTCTTCAAACCTAACTGAGCTGCTTGGGACTGTTGGACAACTTTGTTCAACAACTTTCTCAAGATTGCATTTTGGAAATATACAGATGGTCTTTTAGAATAAAAGAATTGGTAAGGGGAACAGAAATGTTCTTAAATAAGTTATGGTACAGTACAAACTGTTAGGCTGTTCTTTTTCTCTGTTATACTTCGAGTTGCTTAGCATAGTGTTGTGTAGCATTGAATTTGTTTTTAGTTGCACATACAGTACAAGAAAAAATAACAAAGTTCAAGGGAGCCCAAAGTCTAAAACAATTTTACTGTGCATGCATAATGCAGCCTGGTTATGTAAGAACTGTATACATGTACTGTATGTGCTTGTGACTGAAAAAATATGTATTTTCTGCTGTGTTAGAGAATGAATTCAGGCATAGTATTTATTGTTTAAATAAAAATATTGTTTCTAATTGCTTCTGCATACATACCACAATACAATCCACATTCTAACAGAAATGAGAGCACGTGTGAATATCGAGTTTTAGCTTGCATTAACAGAATTTCAATAGGGAGAAATAACGAAATACATATAATAATCATTTTATGAGGACTTTGTGTGTATTTCTCAGACATCTCAATTGAACTGTAGTTGTGGTCTGTTTTCTCGCAGGCAACTGCTGTATGACCTTTCAGAGAATATTACCTCAGCTGATTTGAAAAGCGTGAAGTTTTTGCTTCAAAACACCCTTCCGCGGTGTAAGCTGGAGGATGACACGGCAAGTTCAAACCTTCTATCACAGAAAGATGTGAAATTGAACTCTGTACAGGTTGTCTGAGGATGGTGTTACTCAAGGAGAATTTCATATGTTTGATTTGTACTGTATTTTGCAGTTTTTCTAGCAAGAAATACATTAGAAACATGAGAAAGGTTCCAAATAAGAAGAGACTACTTGGTCCATCTTTGGTTCTTTGACTGCTCCTGCTTATTATTAATAATTCCTTGCTGTAATAGCCATTGATCATAGGGGTAAGCAGTGGTCTGTGCAGGAAGACACAGGAAAGCAGGCAGGTGTAGCAAAACATTCAATTCAATTTGTTTTTATATAGCACCTTTCACAACATGGTTTCCCCCAAGGCACTTAACAAAGCAGTGTGACAGTACATGACATTACAACACAGAAAGAGAAAAAGCCAGAAGACAATGGAGGAGAGGGACCAAAAACAGAAAAACCTCTAGGGGTCCAAGTTCAACTGGCTGCCCAACCCCTCTGGGCAAGCTAACATTATACAATTCTTAAAAAGTACTAAATGTGGAGTTCCATCATGTCCTCCTGTGTGCACTTATCTGTAAATCGTCCTAAACAATAGCTGTATTCGCAGTGTCCGTCTTGGATCCATGGCAGTGATGCAGCGTCCAACTCAGATGGTGCCCAGCTCGGGTACCATCCGGACATGTGGGGAGGAGAATAGGATAGTTTGGTCAGAACAGATGTATCCACCTGGAAGGCCAATACTGAGACACACAACGGCTAACAGTCAGGAAACATAGGCCAATTCCCAAGTCAGGAACAAAGCGAGGTTCAAGTTGTTAGGTTTATATTATGTGACTCAGAAGTTGCGTTCTATATTACTCCAATGTGCTGAGCAAATTGATGCACGTATATGATTATATTTTCAAACCATCACCATTACTTATGTAAATGAATTGTTCTGTTGTTGTTTTTTTTACCTGTTTAGAGTATACTTAAGCTTTTCCTGGAAATGGAAAAACAAGATCACTTGGACAAGAACAACCTTGAGACTCTTGAGCAAGTTATACAAATCATCTCCCCAAATTTAATTAGAAAAATAGCCAAGTATAAAACTGATATTGGTGAGTCCCCTTTTTATGGAAAATGCTTCTAGAGATTTATTGCGAATCATAAACAAAATATATGCCCATACCTGATGAAGGCTCCACATCTGAAACATTATGGTTTGTCCTTCTTTTTACTTTCCAGCTTGGAATTAAGATCTGCTTCTTTCTGTATTGTTTTATTGCTTAAATCAAACAATTAAACAGCCATATACAGTAACTAGCAAAAGATTAAAATTAACAGACGTAATCTTAATTAGAGATGTAAGCAATTTCTGACCATAATCAGAAACAGCAAGAAAGAACTGTACAACTGATTTGTTTTTAGACGATGAATACATGCATAGATACCTGTGAATACAGAGAGGAATGTGAGAATGCAGTTCATTGTGATGTATAGGTTTATCAATATCGTCCTGTGAAAATAATTTGCTTCTAATTTGTGTTACATTTATAGTAGTGTTATGCTCTGTTGTAATGTAACGGTCTAGAACATGATTCATTGCATTTAAGATGATCACCTCTTTATTAATGCAAAGAATTGAGTATTTTGGTGGTAACTATTGCTTTTAATATTCTGTATTCCTGAATTCAGAGCTTTCTAGAGAGGAAACTGGAAACTCCACAGGATCTCAGAAAGTCGTTTTAAGGCAGCGGTCTATGGAAATCCATTCATGTACTCAACAGGTAGAGTACTGCATCCATCCGCTGAATGTAGTGTATTTATGTCTTGTTCTGTAATATGGTAGACATTCATATAACCCACCTTTTCCTTTATTATTTAGTTTATACGCCTTAATATGTATTTCAGCCAGTGATATGCTTTGTTTACATCAAAGAAGTATCCATCTCAAAGATGAATGAGAGCTATTTGTGCTGGAATACTTTGATAATATGCCACATCAAATTCCCTTCAGAAACAGCACCATGAGTCACGCGAAACTCTTTCTAATGTGCTGCACAACAGGTCTCACAGACGTGTCAAACTATGGGCCTGCTGAACTGCAAAGGCTTACATTTTCACACTCAGCCTTAAAATATTTCAACATTTAAATATTTGTTTTGAAATCTTCCATGATACTCAAACAATTACATCACTTAAGGAAGAGAGGGCACATGCAGAAGGAAAGAGACAACCCTATAGCTCACCTGAGAGGTGAGGCAGAAACTTATTTGAAAATTATTTGCAAAGGCACATGTATTGGAATGGAACCTGTAATTCCAATGGTTTCTCAAGACAGAACTGTGCATACTACTTTATTTTTAGTTCCAGAAATTAACCCTTCTCCATCTGTTCATTTCCTTTGTGATTTCTCCCAGTGTATATGCCATTATATTTAATTTGATTTTGAATTCATAATTTAATTTTGTTTGAATTTATATCTCTACAGGCAGGTGTATCAGGACGTTCAAGACCAGCTTCACTGGGTTTGATATAATCTATTGTTATTTTATTTTTGCCTGTGGAGCATTTGTTTGGTAGAAGTATTTTGTTAGGGATAAAATGTTTCTCCTTACACTTTCGATTACGCAAGTTTATTAGCGCTACGGAAAAAAAAAACTCGTGTATACGAGAAAAGTATTATACTGTACACAATAGTTAATTTGTGGACAATGTTGCCTACTACAGTATATTCATACTGTAAATTCCATTGTACTGTGTATATGCAATTATATTGTCCTGTGCAAAGTAGCATTGACTTTAACAAAAGCAGAATATCGTCACACTCATAATTTCTGGAAAAAAAATAATCTAAAGGAGCACATGTCTTTTCTATACATACAGTAAAGTACAACACCGTGTCAGTAAAGCTGCAGAAACATGTCCTGTACATACTGTAGGTTTTTGCCTACTCTTTAAAAACTGAACGGAATATATCCAGGATGACTTATACCAATTGTTATTGTTTGTAACAGTAAACGGCAAGCCAGCACATACAAACTGTATAACGGGTTGTGTGTCGTCCTGTAGTTCTTCTTTTTGTTTGGCATTACCCTATTTCTGTACATTCACGTCTGTGCAACCGGATCCACAAATACTGTTTCTTCCCCCTTCGAAATACACTATTCCTGCATTTTGCTGCGTAATTCCAAATTCAAATGCGTTTGATGTCAGCATACTGTAGTCTAAAAGCTTTTGAGGACTTGACAACTGAATAACAGTAACAGTAAGCCAAAAGTAGGTATTATATCTGAGTGTCAAGTCATCGTACAGTAAATGTATTCCATTCAATGTTTAAAGAGTCGGCAAAAGAAAAAAAAACATGTACAGTAGACGTTTCTCCTGTACAAACACACGCGTTTAACCCGATACTGCTCACACCTGTGTTGTACTGCACTTCACGTCTACAAAAGACAGTACACGTGAAACTGCACAAACATATACGGTACGGTTTTTTTTGCCGACTCTATACATTGCACGGAATACATTTTACAATGATGACAGCTTCACATCAAAAAGAAAATACCTTTGGAAAGCCGTGTCATTTCTACTCGTCAGAGAAACGTCGAAAACGATGCGCGTATAACCTGGGAATGGTTACTGACCCCGTGTTGGGCTTCATGTATCCAAAAGGCAGAACACATGCTCATTTAGATTTTTATTTTTATTTTTCAAAACAGAGGAGATTCTGCTGTTGTTAAAGTCAATGGTACAGTACAATGCAATATACAGTATTAATATAGTAGGCAACATTGTTCACAAATTAACTAATGTGTTTAAACGGAATAATTTTCTCATATAAACGAGATACTTTTATTATATAAACGAGATATATTTTTTTCCTCGGTGGTGCTAATAAACATCCGCAATTTTAGTTTTCAGTTTATGCTGACAAAACTGTTTGGATTTAAAATATTCACAAACACACACACAAAATTGTTATTATCCAGCAATGTGGGACATCTCTAGAAAGGGCTGAATCCTTTACAAGACACTGTATTTGCAATTTCTTTCCTTCCTCTTGCCTGTATTAGCGAATTTGCTGTATATTAATCTATTTCTACGTAGATTACTGACTTTGCTCTTTTAAAGACATTGAAAGCTAACTGCGAGGAATCACAAATGTAAAAATGTAAAAATCACAACTCATAAAGACGGGAGGCACATTACTGATATTATATAATACACGATACATGTAAGAGATGTGATGTCATGTAATTGGACTTTGAGATGTCATTTCAGAATATTCTAGCTGTACACTTGAGTTTATCATCAGGAATACAGATATAAAGCAAAACATCAACTGAGAATTACACAGAATGCTTATACCATGAAATGTGAAAATTAGCACTATCTTCACATTAGGCGTTTCCAGTTCATTGGTGCTGTTTATTAGTAAATACTCTCTTTAAACAACACCGCTGAAATGGTTTTTTTACTTTGACAATGAAATAAATGTCTCCGTGGCTCAGCTACTGGAGTGATTACGTGAGTTAATACTTTGCGTTTTGTTTTTAAGAATTGGGATATGAGCTGACAAAATACAAAATTCCCAGTGAAGAGACCGGAAGTCATAACCAGGCAGAGCAACTGTCTTCGCTTGACTTCCGTGGCCTCAGTGTAAGATGTGATTTAACTCCATTTAAAGTATTCTTTATTTAAAATAAGGTGAAGGTGTGAGAGGGCTGGTTGGATGGCACAGTGGTTAGCTTTGCTGCCTTGCAGTGCTACAAGTCTTCTAGTAATAATAATTGCTTACACTTATATAGCGCTTTTCTGGACACTCCACTCAAAGCGCCATACAGGTAAAGGGGACTCCCCTCTACCACCACCAATGTGTAGCCCAATGTGTAGGATGATGCAACAGCAGCCATAGTGCACCAGTACACTCACACACACCAGCTATCAGTGGGGAGAACAGAGCCAGTTCATAGATGGGGATTATTGGCCATGATTGGTAAGGGCCAATGGGAAATTTGGCCAGGATGCCAGGGTTACACCCCTACTCTTTTCATGAAACACCCTGGGGTTTTTAATGACCACAGAGAGTCAGGACCTCAGTTTTACATCTCATACGAAGGACAGCACCTTTTTACAGTATAATGTCCCCGTCACTATACTGGGGCATTTGGACCCATTTAGACCGCCCATTGAGTGCCCCCCCTGGTGGCCCCACTGACACCTCTTCCAGCAGCAACCTTAGTTTTCCCAGGAGGTCTCTCATCCAGGTACTGACCAGGCTCATACCCGCTGAGCTTCAGTAGGCTGCCAGCTGTGAGTTGCAGGGTGATATGGCTGCTGGCAGTCCATGTGGGTGTCCATAGTCCAGGGGTGCTATCTGTGTGGAGTTTGCATGTTGTTGTAGGTTTTCTCTGGGTGCTCCAGTTTCCTGGGAGTTGACTTCTGGGAAAATTGGCCCTGGTGTGACTGTGTGCATGCTTGTGTGTCTATCTGCCCTCTGATGGACTGGCACCCAGTCCAGGGTGTACCCCGCCACTACCCTAGACTGGATGAAGCAGTTAGAAAATGGTTGGATGACGAATGGGAAGATTTAAAATGGTATTAAAATCTTGCAGATTTTTATATCGCACATGAGAGGCCTTTCTGCTCCCCACATTATGGAACTCTATGCAATATCTATCAAGCTGGCAACTTTTGAAATCTGCCCTCTTACTGTGTGTATTAATTAAAGCATTCTAATTGAATTTCCCTTTATTCTTACAGTCTGTCCCAAGCTTCACTGGATCACTTGGTATGTAAAAACTGACAGTGTCACAGAACAGTAACAGGAGATATCTACCTTTTGGCCTGTTTAGCAGCTGAATGATTAATCGTATTTCCTTCTGTAACCATATTTTAAAACTCACACGTATCTCTTAAAACCCTAAAAACACAAAATGTAGGTGTTTCTTCATTGATTATCTTTACAACATTTGGCAGTTCATTAATTTAATCTTTGTATATCTGACTTTGCATTAAATGTGGTCAACAAAGGCTAAAGCATGTGACTGTTTGATTTAAAAGTTGTTAACTGAAATACATCAGTGAAAAATTAGAGACTATCTGGAAATAAGTGTGTTGATCACAGCCCTATTTAAAAAGCATTGTTAAAAATGTTCATAGAGTTGATCTTGAATAGGGTGCTATTATTTATATATACTGATGGAAAAAAGAAACGCAACACCTCCTACTCCACACTCTGGCCCTCAAGTCTGCGTGGAACAGGCTGAAGAGTGACTCATCTGTGAAGAGGACCTGAAGCCACTGCTGATGAGTCCATCGCAGCCTCTGTCTGGCCCAGGCCAGTCGGGTGTGACGTCTAGGAGGTGTGAGCAGAGGGCCTCTGACAGGTCGCCTTGCTCTAAGGCCAGCAGCATGGAGCCTCACTGTCCTGTCACTGATGCGGGCATTGTGTCTGCCGGCAGTTTCAGCAGCAGTACGGGTCTGAAATGATCTCTCAGATAGAAAAGTCTGATGTGTCGGTTCTGCTCTGGTGTGCTCACTCGAGGGTGACCGGATCTTGAACGATCATCTGTCCTGCCAGTCTGCTGAAACCTTCTCTGCAGTCGGCACACAGTGGAGTGGCTTACTCCATAGTGTCTGGCAACGCTGGCACATGACATGCCTGCCTGCAGCATGCTGATGGCCCTCTCCCTTGCTTCTGGTGACATTGGAGGCATTATGCAATGCACAGAAAACTGACTAAGTGTGGCCTTTTTCTTGCTGTGGCCTAAACTTTGAATGAAGGCCTTTTTAAAGGTGACCTGATCAGGCATTGGACCTCGTTGAGTAAAAGTGCACCTAACGAGGTTTCGTGTGATTGGCGAGTTGCAATGCCTCACTGCACAAGCTGCATTGCTGGTCAGTTGTCAACAAATTGACAACTTTTGGTGAAAGTACATAAGCTATAACTATAGTATTCTCATTCCAGAAAATGTTGCATTTCTTTGTTTCCATCAGTATATATGAGAGTTTTTGCTCTTGACCAGTACTTGCATATGATATGCCCCAGTTTTTAAAACACAATATGAAACTATTCTGTGACTGGAGGAGAGAATAATATTTACTTCTTTTTTATCTTGAAGGAAGATATAACTAACTTTTGCAGCCGAAGGCCATTTTTCTCTTTTAAGACGCTAGTACAAGCATGCTAACACAGAGCACAGATGTGACGGGAAATAGCACAGGCCTCCACTGACTCTACTACGTGTATTACAGAGTCAACAGATGCTCATGCTGAAGATCTTTCATCCCGAATGCGTCGGCTAAGTAGCTCAGCAGACAGTGGCATCAGCTCGTCTTACGCATCAGGTATAACTTTGTATTACTTTGTACAGTGTTTTTTCCTGACTGTAAGACTCATTTTGACAGCTTAACCTTCGGATGACAGTAGAGGTGTAAGCCAACATTTACTGAAAGGTTTGTGTTAAGAGTTGACTCCAGTAACATGTTCTGGTCAGCTTTGCTGAAATGGAATACCAAGGATAAAAAGTCAGCAGTCCTCCAACCCAGTAAAGCATATTTCTGAAAGTGGAAACGGTAGTGATTGAGCCAGTGTCAGCATTGTGCAATGCCAGAACCTTGACCAGGTCTAGTGCAAGTGATTGCAGTACTCCAATCCTGGAGTCCTTGCACTGGCTTCCAGTCAGGTTTCGTGTCGACTTTAAAATCCTCATGCTCACCTATAAGACTCTGCATGGCTTGGCACCCTAGTACCTGTCTGACCTTCACTCATCTAATCCTGGTCTACTGTCTATCCCTTAAGCGTGTCTATACTCTATGGGTGACAGAGCTATGCCCCAAAGCTCTGGAACTCTATTCTTAGAGGATAACAGGGAGTCACCTTTCCTGACGTTATTTCAAATCTAGACTCAAACCCTTTTTTAGAACCCTTTTATTTAACTGGTTCTATCTGCCCCTTGGCTTTCCTGCTGTATTTCATACCTCCATCTACTACCGTATCTCCTCTCAATGTGTATTTTTTGTTGTTCTTCAAAGCGCTTTGAAAAGGCACTTTTAAAGGCACTATATAAAAATATATAGAAATAAAAGATTTTAAAATTATTTTTATACCTTTTTTTTCTGGTGTCTCAATTAGTGCAAAATCCTCGGCCATCGTTTGCTTCTTCGAGCGTGAACACGAATGTGGAATCGGTCCCAGGGGACACAGTGGTGAGTTTTTCCTGCTTGTTTCTTTTCTATTTTCATCATCAGTGTTTTGTGTTCGGATACATATTTTCCTAACATTTGACCTCCCAAAAATCTATATAAAAATGTAACACCGTTAGGTTGCACTTGATCGCCTAGTTAGAATAGATCCGCCGTTAATATTTTTAGGAGTATTGAATTCAACTTTAGTGGCAGCAGTTAAATGCAAACACAGAGATATTTTAAGAATATCAAGTGCTCCTGTTCTTTCAGATACAGGCCGTACTCATTATCTTGCTTGAAAAGTATTTGGCTCAACACATCTAGACTTGTTAATAGAATATCAAAAATAAGTTTAGCTGCTTTAACTTCAGGTTACAAACATTGCCTAAATACAACAGGGTTCTTCTGTGTTAAAACTGACACAAGCTGGCAACACATTTCAGGTTGTTATTTTTCAAAAGGAATGATGAAACTAAGAACGACACTTACAAGGTCAGTTAACACACAGTATGTTCTGAATTGCCCAAGTTAACATCGCATCTATGGTGACTAACATCGAGATTGTTGTGATTCTGTTCTGTTTTATTCACAAAGCACTTGGAGGTTTATGAGATGAATGGAGAAAAGAGAGGATACTGCCTGATTATAAACAACTACAGCTTCGCAGAGTCCCGAAATGCCACAGGCCATGATCAGAAACCTTTTTTTGACAGAAAGGGAACCATGGTAGATGCCAGTAAGTGTTTTATTTTATCTTCATTAGGCCTAAGTATTCTTTTACTCTCTGTATTCGCTGTACTAGTTGTAATTCTCTTATTCTCTTATGTTACCTGATTGATATACAGATGTTTTCTGTAATGCCTAGGTTAGGTATGGACTAGAAATCCTTTCTTCACTTAACCACCGATGGTTACTGTAGCTGACACCCCACTGAGTACGGAATGTAGAGATTCTTTCCTCTTACTGGCTTATTGCGATTCTCATATGCCGAAACATTCAACTTTACAGACGTGTTATGCTGAAATCCTGTTGGTCTTTTCAGGGGATTTTAAATCTTCCGCCTTTTAATTTTACTCACTGCGGTATGTTGCATATGGCACTCGCTAGTATTGAGAACACAACCCCTAGTTCCTAACATGAGCTGAACCAGAGGAAAATATGGAGCAGTAAAGTATGAAAATATAAAGTGTAGTACCTTACTTTCAGGACACTATTAAGGAATGCACAGGACCTCTCTTAATTTAATAAAAGAAACCAGTGACATAAATAACATACCCTCATAAATACCCTTATTGATGTCCGCGCTGGGTATACTGTAACTGTGGTGTAAGTAATGATATTTTTATTAAGTCATTTTGACAAAAATCAAAAAAGTGTTTTTTTTTGGCACGCTTGATACTTTTAGTTTGTTTAGTGAATTGTAAAAGGCACCTGTGGCGGACCAGATCTTTTAATCTCTTATATTTCAGAGAAACTTACAGAAGTCTTTGAGTGGCTGGGGTTCGTGACTGAGTGTATAGATGACTGCAGTCAACGGAAGATAGTAGAAACCCTCCAGCGATACCAGCAAAGAGACCATGGGGCCATGGACTGCTTTGTGTGCTGTATTCTGAGCCATGGACTGAAGGGAGTAGTGTATGGAGTTGATGGGCGTAAAATCCTCATTAAAGAAATGACCAGGAAATTTTCTGGTGTTATGTGCCCCTCTCTGAGGGGCAAACCCAAGTTATTTTTCATTCAGGCTTGTCAGGGCACCGCAGAGCAACTGGCAGCACCAATTGAAGCCGATAGTTACGACCCAGACATCTCCACTGATGCCTATGTGCCGAAAAACTGTATTCCCGACGACTCCGATTTTCTCATTGGAATGGCCACAGTGGAAGACTACGCCTCTTATCGCGACAAGTTACAGGGCACGTGGTACATCCAGTCCCTGTGCGAGAATCTTCAGCTGTTGGTTCCAAGGTAAGAAGTTATTCATAAGTGGCAAAATAGCACATGCATGTACTGCATGAAATCTTTTCCGGATGACTACGTACAGGTTCAGTATGTATATTAGGAGGGAATTCTAAATTGAATCACATACCCACATCCACTAGATGCAAGAAGGCCTTCACAGTTTTTTCTCTTTTATTTTATTTTAAGTTGAATGGGCAATGCCTAGGCCAAGCCTGGGATATGGTCTGAAGATGAATGCTGTGCTGCACCTTTTTCTTTCTTGACTTTTTGGCTTGTCCTGATTTTCAAAACTTTGAAATAAAGCTGCAGATCTTTCTCAGTGCTGCCAAGATCCGTCTGGTTGATGTGTGGCTCCTCACCCCGCCAGCGGGCATTAGTTTTCCCGTGAGTTATCAGCTGCCAGGCAGGTAAAAAAGTGGAAAAAGAAGGTACACTGGGACTGCACTAGAGGGCGGTTGCAAATGATTCGGACTTTGTAATTCAAGATACGTAGCTGTCTATCCATTTTCTAAACGCTTCATCCAATTCAAGGTCGCTGTGAGACAAGCAATCCCGGTAAACAATGACTCTAAGGAAGGATACACCCTGGACAGGACACCAGTCCATCGTAGGGTACACACGCACAGACACACACAGACACTCTCACACCAGAGCCAATTTTCACAGAAGCCAGTTAACCTACTAGCATGTCTTTGGACTGTGGGAAAAAACCCAGAACTTGGAGGTGACACGATTACTTTTAGGACAATCGCCTAAAAAGTGAGTGTGTCTGTGTTTGTCAGCCCTGCAATAGACTGGCGTCCCATCCAGGGTTATCCTGCCTCGTGCCCATTGTTTGTAGGGCTAGGTTCTCTGCAACCCTCAATTGGAAGAAATAGTTTAAAAAACGGGTGGATGAATTCAGCTTGCAGTTGTGTTTTTAATTTAAGCAATTCCACGACAATAAATCCCGTTTTTCTTTTTATCTGTAGAGGGGAGGACCTGCTGTCAATACTTACAAAGGTGAACATGGATGTCAGTAAGAAATCAGACAAATATGGAATCAAGAAGCAAATTCCACAGCCAGCCTACTCCCTGAGGAAGAAACTGATATTTCCACACCGTCAAGCTCCAGCTCCACTTCAGAAGCTACAAAAACAGTAAACCACACTAAACTACAGTAACTGAAAAAATGTGCAAGGGAGTATCCCCCCGCACAGTGCGTTATACAGTATGAGGCATAGCTCTAGGTTATTTCTAATGTTCCATTAATTTGTTGTGGAAGTTGGAAAGAGTTCCGGATTAGCCTCTGACGAAAAGAAAACACACTGATGCATAGATAAAGAGCTGGTGAGGTATCTGGAGCTGATCTGCTTTGCCATGCATCGGATGTATCATCTGTCTCTTATGCAATTACATCAGAGGGGAGGCAAACTGATCGGCCAGAGGGCAGCGTGTTGGTATGGATAATATACAGTGGACCATACCGATTAATAAAATATTAATAGTGGATTGATGACAGATATATTGACACCAAAGAGAGAAAATATTAGATGGGTGAAATTAACTTAATTTCTTATTACTGATAAATATTCCATCGGAACGGAGCACAATATTGAATCATGAAACCATTCTGTTTTTTTGTTATCCTCTTTGCTTAATGAGAAAGCAGTTGTTCACCCATCTGTACAGCGATCTCAGAATCAGGTGGTACTCTTGTTGAAATTCACAATACGGAGCCACAGCATGGTTGACTAACTTTTGCTGTGTATCTGGAGGCACTGCAATTCAGCAATGAGAATGTCTGCTCACACACACAGTTGTACATGAACAAAAACCAAGGTCTTTCTGTGTTCATTTGTACCCCCCACCCTTGAATTATTTTTGTTTTATCTAATCAAGTCTAAAAGTTCTGAGTGTATGAAATGGTTCACAAAATGGATGAATTTATAGTCAGTGTGAATGTAATTTTTTTGTATCAAGTCTTAATAACTGATCATGCCTGTTAGCCTGTTCTGAAAATTCAGACAATTTGCATTTTTCTTATGTTTGATCTTTAAGGGCTAACCGAGGCAAGCTTCCTGAAGGAACATCAACCTATCATATCTTTGTAAGCACTGTAATATGTTTTAAATATCACAGTTTATTTTGCAGTTTGTAAGTATTACAATTTTTGATCTTGAACAACTGACATGGAAAATTAAAGATCAGACCAGTTTGTTTTTAAAATGTAACCAATTTTATATTTTCTCTTACCATTACCCATCACTTGCATTCCTGTACATCTCAAGTTTTAATAAAACTGACCTTTTGCAATACTGTACCTAATCCAAAGAATAAAAGCAATGATTGCAAAGCTTCACAGCTGTTGGTATGCTTTACTTTTGTCTACTGATGTTTTTGTTTGCTGAAATTAATTCCTTAGACATTTTATCCAATAAAAGCTTCAACAAAGCACAAATCATATGAAATCTATTTAGAGCTAAGCAATGAAAGCCATTTAGATATTGTAGTCATTGGCTGAAAATTAACCTCTTTGATCTAGGTGAAAATGGGTCAATTTTATTAAAAACACAGGACGCAGAATGTTACCGATTGCGCATATTCCCTATGGTTTTTTCATTGCCAGTTCTTTCTAGGACACTAAAACAGAAATGTTTAAAAGGGCATGTTAACACATTTGATAGAATTTTTATTCTACAAAGATTGGTCTATAAATAGAACGAGCAGGTTTGTATTAAACAGTTTATTAAAATGACACAACAGATGCAATTTCAACAATACGTGAAGACTCTCAGGACACGGGGAAGATGAGTTTCTTGGTCAGGGTGTATCTTGGCTCAGGCATCTGCTTGGCGTTGACATAGGTTCCTTGGCTCACTTCTCTGTTGACTTTCGTCAGGATGGACAGAATATCTTCGTTCCTGCAGGAAAGTCTGCCGTTAGACCGCTTTCATTAAATGTCATCTATTTCAGATATCCATTTCCCCAGTTGCTTATAGAAACTGATATCAATTTAACTTTTGAGAGATCTTTCAAAGGTGCATGCAATTTTTCCACAGTGTTTGGGAGGGCTACTGTACATGGTGTGTACTGATCTCTCCGTGAAGTGCTTACCTGCTGAAGCTGTGGTACAGTAGTCGCAGCTCTGTCTGGTGTATAATAGCAGAGAACCCCTGCTGTCGAGCAATACAGCTTCCTTTTTCTTTCGTTGTGGAGTAGTGGGGATGTAGTGGATGGGTCACTGCCATGGTATTATTGAGCAACTTACTTCACTTGCATTTCCCCCCAGTAAAGCTCTGTTTTAGATAAATGGCACTGTGGGTCGTCATTGTAAATGACGGTTCACATTTGTTTCATCTGGCTAAGTGAAAAAGAGAGTATTGAGGAAAAAAACAAATCTGGATTCCTTTCACAATTGTATATTACACCCATCACATCAACTCACTTTCTGCATCCCTCCTGGAGATGCTTGCAGAGCGCCTGGATGAAGAACGAGCCTCTTGAAGTGCTCCGGTAGGATAGATAATCTTCCACGGTCGCCATGCCCAGCAGGAAGTCAGAGTCGTCGGGGATGGTATCCTGCTGGATCACCCCTGCATCGGCTTCGATTTCACGTTGGGCCTCAGAATGTCCGTCGGAGACAATCGACACCCCTGGCTGCTTGTTCTGCCCCTGACAAGCCTGGATGAAGAACAGCTTTGGCTTCCTGATGAGAGACACGCAGTTGCTACTGGTGAAATAGGAGGTGATCTGGCGAATGAGCACAGGCTCCCCATCGCTGGCTTCAATCGCTCCCTTCACCCCGTGAGACAGGATGCAGCACACGAAGGCATCTCTCTGCCTGTGGTCCTTCCTGCCGTATTCCTCCATGAAAGCCAGGATTTCGGAAGCCGCAAGGTCGTCCCGCCGGATCACTTCAAAGTCCAAAGTCTCGAAGGTGCTGGTTAGAGACGCTTCGAGAGGCAAGAGAGAAAGGACATTGCTGGTGATCTCGGCGGGCGGAGAGAGGCGTAGCTTGCAGAAGGAAGAGAATCATGAGGTCGTAGAGGACAGGCTGTCCCAGAAGGGTCAGATCGAAGCAGACACTTGGGCATGACGAGGTTCTGAGCTCGATTATAAAATACCAAAATAAATTGGTATTTATTAATACCAATTCACTCGGTTTTTTATTATGTTGTTTTATTATTTTAGAAATAAGCTCATAAAAAAGGATCGATAATAATAATAATAGGAAGCCTCAAAAATAAACTTTCTTTGAACGATTAAATTGAATTAATAGGTTGCTACTGGCTTTTAAGGTATTTCAATCACAAAAGTACATTGAAGACCTTTAATTCACATGGAAGTATTTGGTTTTAAGTAGGGAACACATTATTACACATACAGTACCACAAGAAACACAGCAGAAATCACATAATGTCCTCAATACATAATACAGCACTGAACACCGTGAGCTAAACACATCTAAACATTAATAACCCAAACCTAATCGAATTTAAAAGCAGATTTTAAATGAATGAGTCACTGGTGAAAAGTGTGTTTGGCTAATTAAAACATGCTTCCATGTAAAGTAAAATTCTTCAATACTTAACTGTAGTACTAACAAATACTACAGCAATTAGAAAACAATGACACTGTGACCAGGTCAGAGTGGATTAAGACTAGAAATTAAAATACCCACATTTCCATTAAATGTAGCAAAATCATTGAAGTGACCAACAGCACAGTTCTCCCAGTCATCAGGGATGTGTTACTACACTGCATCACCACCCAACACTGGTAACGGAAGTAGATTTCCTCATTTGTGTCAGACTTCGTCTCCCATCCACGTTGCAAATTTAGAAATGGCTCTGCAGCAGTAGCACGTTTAAAGACTGTGCCTCACCTGCATCTATGTCTGTCCCGATCCTGTCTTTCAGATACTTTTCCGGATATCGCCGTCTCCCCTTGTCAAAGTTCTTGTTGTTTATTATAAGACAGTATCCGTGTGGTTTGTTTCTCATGTCATAAACCTCCGACTGATAAAAAAAACAGAACAAAACCATACAATCAACGCACCACTCAGAGAGCATTTTTAAAATCCTTAACATTTGAGAAAAGGTCAACCCTATACATCTCTTGCTCCCTCCAGAAACCTGTCCAATTTCTGATTTGTTTTAATCTGAGCATTGAAAGTAACTCTATCCCAGAATCTTTATTTTGAATGTGAATCATTTGTAGCAGGTGGTTCTTATGTGCGTCTCAAAATTGGGCGATTACAGTACACAGCACAGCCTTTTCATCAGCTTTAATCTGTTGTATAAGGAACTGAGCACTGATACAGGCTGCTCACGGAACAGGTTACTCCCAACAAAACAGAAATGGCGTTTTATACTATTTTCAAGAATGATTCCACAGTTCTCCATTTTATAACTTCTCTGATGGACTTGTAATACAGACGTGATCCTTTTCTGATTCCTGACTCTCATATTAATTGGGTGGTAACGCATTTACAAAATGACACCCTCTCCGTTGTGTACATCTCGGCTTGCTCAGGCACGCGTCTGTATTATTAAACGCATTTTTTAATCATTAACAAGTATGCAAAGAAGGCTTCCTCCAATCATTCCTTAAGAATGTCTTGGAAAGCAGAATTCAAGTCTCATTACACATCACCTCAAGCCTGCGACAGCTTTTGTACTCAAGCTGAACTCCTTTCTCTTTCTTTTTTCTTTGTTCATTTGTGTCTCCTTTTATTTTGCAGGTCTGTTATTTATGAAAGAAGAAAAGCTAACAAACTGTTAAAAGACTGACTTTCTCTATAATGTGCTCCTGCCACAATGTGTTTACCCTAACAATTCATTAAATCTCCAATTACAATAGTTTAACCAGCAGTGGTGATTATACGTTAATCATGATAATACTATTAATAACATACTTTTTTTACAGAGCTTCTGTCAAAGCGCTTTACAGGTAATGGGGACTCCCCTCCACCACCACCAGTGTGCAGCCCCCACCTGGATGATGTGACAGCAGCCATAGTGCGCCAGAACGCTCACTACACATCAGCTATCAGTGGGGAGGAGAGCAGAGTGATAAAGCCAATTTATAGATGGGGATTATTAGGAGGCCATGGTTGGTAAAGGCCAGGGGAAAATTTTGCCCAGGACACTGGGATAACACTTCTACTCTTTTCGCAAAAACATTCTGGGATTTTAAAAGACCACAGACAGGCAGGACATCCATATTACATCTCATCCGAAGGATGGCGCCTTTTCTACACTATAGAGTCCCCATCACTACATTGGGGCCTTAGGACTCTCCCTACTGGCCTCACTAACACCTCTTTCAGCAGTGACCTAAATTTTTCCCAGGAGGTCTCCTGTCCGAGTACTGACCAGACTCACACCTGCTTAACTTCAGAAGGCTGCCAGTTTTAAGCTCCAGGATGATATACCTGCTGGCTTAATGACTTTTCCTGCTCTATGTATGAGCTCACGTTTTTGTGCTTCGGCTCCATTTTCAAAATTAATCAAACGTGGTATAAAATGGCTGGAATAGATTTGAGTTTTGGTCCATTACATTACATGATGGCCAGGTGCCACCCCTACTGTATCATATTTCTTATGTTACAGTATGTCCACTAAGGAGACATGAAGCCTTGGATGCAATTTAATTTACAGTAGCAATGTGATAGCTAATGATTACACAGTGGGTATTACTGACCTTCTACACTAGTGAATTCATGTGTTCTCAAAAGACATTTATATTGTATCAGTGTAATACAAATACTGATATGCTGACTTTGAAAGCATGCAAAAGCCATGAAGAAATATTAAAGAATGAACTTTTAAGATAAGGATTTTGCAGGTGCATTATTACCTCACTGTGTATTGCTACGGGAAGACCATCCAGACTCAATGTTCGTTCACGTACACCTGGAAGAAAATATTTTAGCTTTTGAAGGTTTGTTAGGAGCAATACTATACACTTCTGTGAAGACATCTTTTCCTGACAAGAGTTTAGATTTGCAATAACTGCATTTCAATGGAAAAGCAGATTTACTCTCTCCATTCAATTACAATTTTAATAATCCAGTAAAATAAGTACTTTTACATTGCATAATTCTATCTATACACAGGAATTTGCAATACATACAGTACTTAATGCTTAATACATCTGTAATGCAGTAGCTTTTCAGTTCATGTGGGTGCATTTTTATATACTGAATATAGCACTCTATCTAGTCATTGGGGCTATATTTTGAATTAATCCGATTAAGAAGCACTTACACAAAAATGAAAAAGTTACTATAACTTGGCAACAAAAAGTGTGTCATATGGGTAAGACTCTGAATGAAATTTACTTAGATACAAACACCTCCTAAATTTTCTATTGAAATGGTAACAGGAGAGTCAATTTTATGTTTTCTCTAAGCAAAATTATACAGAGTTATGAACAAACCTACAAAACAGTACATATTAAGTAAGTTAAGAATTTTGATCAAGATTTGTAAGAGACCTACAGTAAGCACTGTATAATATATATATGAACTATATTAAAATGTTAGTTATATTTAAAACATAACCTCAGTCAAACAACATGAGGTATTATTGTAGGAGGCCTACAGTAAACACTGTACAGTTTAATAATATAGTCTAACTCTATTGAAACATGAGATATATTTATAACATAACCTCAAACACAATGTATCAAGAAACTGCTTTCTGAATGTAATTTTTCCCCATAAATGTTTCAGAAATTCAGAAATAGAGAAACAGACAGAAATACATATTTTCTCCAGAGTAAGATTTATGCTTTGACTCCAATGTACAATAAACATCTGAACTTGATAATGCCTTGTACCTATTTACACACTGCTAAACAGCTCTTGATGACCAATTTAACCATAACATTGTTATGCTAATATTTTTATGTGAATTTTAGATTCAATGGCTGGGTAACTCAAGATAAAGTGCTTGCAGTTTTCTCTTATTAAATAGGCCATTCTCATTCTAGACAAACAAAGGTGTTCAGACTTACTATTATTGACGGGAGGTCGGACTGACTGAGCCTGTGAACAGTTTTGTGACAGAACAAAAAAAAATCAACAGATTAACAACACAGAACACATACTGCATAGTTTTACTATGACAACTTCCTGCAATCTAAAGTTTTCAATTATCGCCGTACTTACGTGTCTAACTATTAAAAAAAAACTATAAAAAAGGTTTAATTAGCACATATTGATCCGGCCATTATCAGAAAGAACCACAGCCAGGCAGGTCCTACTCCAAAAACACAGAGCACCAGGTGGAACTCATGATCCCATAACCCCTTACAATCTGGACATTACACTAGTCCATCACCGAGCTATGGAGACAGAGCCGGTGAGTCTGTTGAAGGTCTGTTGAAAAAAAATGCAAAAACTTCACCCTGCAATGCCCAAGGCTGGATTTGAACCCAGAACCCGGGAGCTGTGAAGCGTTGATGCATCTCCTTTCAAGCTCTTCACATGTAACCTCTGACGTGTGGCACACACCTGAGAGACCAGCGACAGCAGCCCTACCACACAGCAGAGCAGGTAGGAAAGTTAATAGTTACTTGAATTGAGTGAATTAAGTGAATAATTCACCAATGCAATTAAAGGAGAACTTTAGGGAGGTGAAATTAGACCGGAATTTCGACCAGGACACCAGGGTTAAAAGCACTTTAACAATCAGGAAGCAAGGGCTTTCATTTAATGTCTCATCCAAGGGATGTCACCTCATGCCATGGGGTGTCTCTGGTCACAAAACTGCGGAACTGGGGAAACAGCAGCAATCCAGTCGCCCCTCCCTGTACTGAGTGAGCTCAGCTTTGCTTAATTTCTGAGATGACATCAGGCTACAAAGTGGTAATCCTGCTGCCAATTAAGATTACAACGGGAGGGTAATTAATGATGATGCACTGCTGCCTCGTAATGCTGGTGCCCCAAGTTCTACTCCTGGGGTACTATACGTGTGGAGTTTGCATGTTCAGCCCATGATCATGTAGGGTGTACTCAGGGAGCTCTGGTTTCCTGTATTCCCTGTATATTAGTATTATCTCTGTGTCCTGTAAAAACGTACTGGTAGGTTAATTGGCTTTTGTTAAACTGGCCCTGGTCTGAGTGTGTGTGTTTGTGCCTGTATGAATACACTATGATGGACTGGAGTCCTGTCTGGAGAGTATCCTGCTTTGTACTGAATGTCTCGCAGGATAGGTGGCCCCGAGTCTGGTGGGATAAGCAATGGTCATGATGGGAGGGTATTTCCAAATCCTTTCAAACGTTTTCAAAAATGTAAGAACTCGCAAGACTTCTCGGTACAAAAGTGTGAAATTTAAAAATGGGCAAATCATTACAACGATGAACGGGACCCCTCCTCTGTGAATACACCATTCACTGGTGTTGTGTATTCCACCTTTAAGGCTTTTTTCAGCATCACAAAGACAAGTTTAAGATATTCGCCCAACCTATAGACTTAAGCACTTCAATACTCAAAAGAACATCAGTAAATACGCAAGTAAGGCATATTATTCATCAGCTGAACAAAAAATAAAATAAAGCCCCTCCTACTAGTAACTGATTTGAATTCTATATCATTTTATGACTCAAATATATTTTTATGACACTCCAATAAGCATCTTCTGCATCTACTGTACCTCCTGGAGATTCAGTTGGGGCTGCTGGCGAGTCAAGTCTGTGGAGGCTTCCATCGCACAAGGCTCTTCTGAAGAGATGAGATATGAAGAGGTTTGCAATCAAAAATAATGTGCAGATTAATACAATAAGATGTTTTTCAGCTCTGACTTACAAGCCCTTGTAAAATCCTGGGTTCGGTATAGGGTTTCAGGCGTTCATGTGAAAGACAACAGAGGTTTCACTGGCCGATTATCAAACGTTATTGGTAAAAACAAAAACAAAACTAGCCGACCAAGCCAGGAGAAGACAAAGAATCAAAATAACGGACAGAGCGCGAGCCTGGATTCTCTCCTCAACCATCCACACCACACTTTTCCCTGGGTCAGAGAGTAAATACAACTTCACTCGCACCAAACAAATTACCACACACTGAACACTGAACATGTTAACCCAAATATATCGCACACCCTCTTCAGAGAGGAGGCACGGGCTCAGCAGTTTTCACGCTTTTCAGGAAATTTCTAGATTTCAGTTAATCACTCCTTTATTTTATGCAACGTTTGTGCTATACTGTGCATGCAAGGTGAAAGGAAAGGAGATGTCTATCTAGAACTTCTCCAGCACATAATGTCCCCAGATGAGTTCAAGATTTCAGTGTTTTCAGAGAACCAGAGCCCACAGGGCGATAAGCAGGGTATGGCCCACGATTAAAGGTTCATCAGGTCTAAATTTAAAATATAATGACATCCCCCCCTTATTGTCTGGACTTTCCTTAACTCTTCAGGGACTGAAAACGATTCTGTGACCAAGTTTAAAATATTGGACTGGTTATCAAAATCACTTGAACTGGAACCCATAGCATTATAGATGGTGCTAAAGGAAGTTCTGACCGCTGAGAAATCCATCATTTCAGATGCACTGCAGAAGGGGAAAGATTTTCAGAACCTACATGTCAACAGGACATTTCAAATCTACAGAAATACCTTTTTTCGTGTTATCTAGAGCCATCAAATCACTTTTCGGGATTTTGAAGTTTGACCCAAAACATTTTGCTTTTTAATATCATTTGCTCCGACATATTTTTGTCTTAAACTACTATAGAAATCCCGGGTGACCCGTCTAGTGCTTTGAGCAACGGGTGTTTTGGTCAGTACTTTCTAGTGCTCAGTACCGATTACCGTTACAGTCTGGCACTGCACCTATTGATTAATGATGGGCTCCACTTCAAATCAATAATTCAAGCCCGTAATTTACAGTCCTTCCAAAACAGTCTGCAAATGCTTTTACTGTCTTGTAACGTCTACAATATAACACATACACCTCTATAATATAGCAGATTCGTGGCAGGGCAAGACTGCAGGAAAATCACGACATGAGTTTGGCATGAACATGGCTTTACTGTACCTTCTCTGCTCTGTTTGTACTCCATGATCCTTTGCACCAAATTCATATTGATTTTTTTGCAGATCCCCTCCAACTCACTGAGCATGTCTTCTCCCAGTATCTCCTGTTTCTCCATTTCTATTAAAACATCTAGGAAGGACTGAGCAGAGAGAAACGAGCCGTGAGAAAGAAAGGAGAGTTATCAAATAATCTATTGCCTCTCAAATTCACTTTTTTTTTTAAAACTTTAGCCATGGGAAAGTTCTTGAACTTTCTATATTGATATGACTACATATGTAACCAAGGTTTTTACAGTGTGTCTATTGGCTTCAGGTAATTCTGTATTCCAAACCAAAATATTGTCATATTATAGTAAAATATTTTATTGTATACATAACTAAAGAACAGCCTGCAAATATAAATCTTGTATTACATTTGTATCTGCAATTTGTTTGTTTAATGGTTGTTTAATGCACTATATTATTAAAATAAGGGATGTTTACCATTATATGTAAAACAAAACAACCTGGACCAACTGTTTATAGTAAGCTACTAGAAATCAGTTGTTTTAAGCTACAACTTCATGATGTATAACTATTAAATTTCATCTTAATAATGTGGACAGTAACTCATACAGTATAGACCGCTTCCTTTGTAAAAAACAAACTGTTTTATGTTTTTTTGTTGATAGTTTCATTTTGTAGATGTTTAGAGTACAAAAAAGACACAGAGAAAGAGTACGAAAGAACATACAGCACTTGTTGAGATACCGATACAAAAATATCTTAACAAAAGTTAAGATTCTACTCACTGCACTGACATCCAATTTGCATCTCTGAATCTTCTCACTCAGAAAGAATTTAACGCTTTTGAGTTCTTCGTCTGTTACATCTTCAGAGAGCTCATACAGCATCCTCCTAAGACGTACAAACATATACAGTAAGACCGCCATTTCTCTGGTCAATAAATGTTGGTAAGTGACTACTGAAGTTGCATTAAATTCTATAACAAAAACCTTTGGAAAAATAAGCACATGGTAAGAATACTGTTCTCTTTCTTCTTGTTCTGCTTAGTAAAAATTATAAAGCTACCAAGACAACAGCACGGCTATTAATGAAAAACAATAATTGCTCTAATTAACACCTGAACAGTATGAGACACTGAGGTAAAAAAAAGGGCAGAGAGGTGGAACTGTAGCTAAGGATCTGTGCCTGTGGCTGGAAGGTTGCCGGTTCAAATCCCGTGGCCAGCAGAGGAATCCTACTCCATTGGGCCCCTGAGCAAGGCCCTTAACCCCAGCTGCTCCAGGGGCGCCGTATAAATGTCTGACCCTGCGCTCTGACCCCCAGCTTCTCTCCCTGTCTGTGTGTCTCATAGAGAGCAAGTTGGCGTACGTGAAAAGACAAATTCCTAACGCAAGAAATTGTATATGGCCAATAAAGTCATCTTATAAAATACATGTTGAACTTGATCGATTTAGTGGCATGATGGATGAAGTGGAAATGCGGAGATGTGTCACTATGCCCTGTACAGAATGAAGGAATATGTGTTTTTCTCTGAGATTGAATTTTTTTAGTTATATCTTTTCCTTGAGTTTCTTCCCAGATGGAAGAGCTCTAATTCGGTTTCTTCTGTCCAAGCCTCACTTCTGCAATGTAACTGATGAAACCATCCTCCTAATCCCACTTCTAGACAAAAAGCTCTTCAACAGACATAATTGAAGGATGTTGCCAAAAAACTGAAACAGGGAAAATGTTCTGGTTCTATGGAGGAGGGGGAAGGGTTTTGTGACTTTTGAGGATGTAAGTACTTAAAATAAATTAATGTATCATTTCCAGGACTGGAGACATCAACTGACTGTTAGAACAATTTCAGCCAGCAGTTTTAAGCCTTCCAGTTAGCAACTGCTGTGCTTTAAACTACTTCTAGATTTACTGTACTCTATAAATTACCTTTACTGCTGTGGTACTAAGCTCTCTTGCCTTTAAAAAAAGATGTTGTGCTTCTGGAACCTGTAATATACAGGAGTTCACAGTAGATATGGACCAGACATCAAACTATGTGCATGATAACTTATCTGTGACTTCCTGTAAAAATGGCTGAATTTAGTACAATGTTGACAAGCAATAGCAAATTATAAGACATTTATTTCACTTCAGTAAAAAAAATCATTTTGTATTCATGTATCTAAAACTACTTCATATCCACCTCTGCAGTTTTCAGGCAATGGTTGCTTTATAGCCAGGAGCTGCACTATGGCTAAAGAGTTGTTTCTTTCTTTGTAATCCACCACAAAACACTAGAGGGGCTTCCATTAAATAACTGTAGAGATATGGTCTGACCTACTCCTGAGCTTTTATTTAGAACTCCAATTTTCAAACAATGCGAAATATGTATTATTTTGGAATTTTTATTTTCCACAAAAATGGATATACAGAGAAAGTAACTGCGTTGGTGTTACAAATCATTACACAGTATGGAAACGTAATCAATTATTTGCGCTCAGTTACCACTTAAGACTCCACCTCCATTTCGGTAATTCAATCAGGCCCTAATGAAGATGGGACGGGGCAAAGGCTTCGTTTTTAGTGAGTTCGCTGTACTGTCTTAACCCACCCAGGCTATTTACACCAACCTGAGTGTTAGGATGAGACAGCAGGAACCCCAACCTTTTCACCAGGAGCGAGACAGGCAGCTCATAAGAAGATTGTCCTTCCTCCTCTCTCCCATCACCAGTCTGCGAGTGGGACAGTCTAATGCACTGCAGTTGTGATGCTTATACAGTACGTACACGAGAGGGAGCGGGTGAGAATAGGGTCTGACCTCCTCTGGAACTTTTATTTAAAACTCAGATTTTCCACTGTCCTCTTTTGACACCTCACCTACACAAGCACGCAGCGGTGTCACAATTTGTCATCAGCAGACGGCTGCTGGAGGGTGTTGTTTGGTAACGAGCTCTACTTTGGTGTTCTGCGCTTAAAGACAAATAGATTTTTTTTTTAGTCTGACCTCTGTAGGGGGCGTCAGCATGTTTTCAACACAAGCCTGTCCTAAAGCTTTCCCCCCACTTTTAATCAAATAAAAAATATACAATATTAGCCAGTGCTCACCTGTACGAAGAGATACCGGTCCGTGAGTCCACTCGATTCTTGAGTCTTTCTTGAACATGCTGTTTGGAAGTTCCCAAGAGTCCCAGCAGCTTGACCCTCTTAATTATGTACAGAAGTTCAGCGACGATGAAATAATCTTCCATGTCAAGCAGGCCTTTGTCTCGAAGACTGAGGAATAAGCCTTTGGCATCTTTAATGTTCTCTTGTTTCCTCTTCGGGATGTGATCAAGGCACAGGAATTTTAAGGCCTCAATTTCACTGGAGTCCAAGTCTTCATCAATTTCAAAAAGAATACTGAACATTGAATCATTCATGGTTCCCTGACCATCCGTCTGGAACACGAAGTATTCCTAGGAACGCTGCATTATAAAAAAAAACAGGCATCAAGATACAGGATTCAAGAAATAACTACAAAACTAATCAGACTCTTGTTTAATGTCCTAACTGAAGATACAAAAAAAACTAACTTTCCCTGCTAGACCTTAAAAGATTCATGTTCTCACTTCCCTGCAATCATAGTTAATGATTATGGCTTTACAAGGTATATTTTGCCAATATCAAAAAAGGCTTTCTTAAACTCCAATTTTAAAGGAGCCATTTTAATATCTAATTCATAACTTGTAGTGGACATGCACTGTACAGTATAGTGCAGTGAAACCAAACTAATTTCTGTCTTTACATATCCTTACACGAAAAGAATAATTAAAATCTGGCATCACTATTATTAAATATCATTTTACATATAAGGAACATTTTTAATATACTGTTCAACTAAAAATTAAAATTCATACTAACTGGCTGATCTTTTTTATAGCTCGTCTTCTGAGATGTTTATAACAGAAAAACAATTAAAGTAAACCCTTATTTTAACCGACTTCCAGTTAATGGTCTTCAGAGCAGATTAAGCATTTTATCCTGTACTTAATGAATGTACAATAATGAAAGACTACTGCTGCCTTTTTAACTCTAAACAATATCTGTCTTTTTCCCCCAACATGTCATGGTAATGTGATGACCTCCATGAAAAAGAGCCCCTTAAATATTAATTCAAAATGTTCTGAAGATCTAACAGCTTTTCATAGAGACCAATATGAAAACCCATGTGAATGATCATTTTTTGGTTTGCAGCTAGACTGATCTATATGGAGCTGAATGCTTGGCAGTTGGAAAGAGGGAAGAGAACTTGATGAGAAGAACTGAAATGAGGATGTTGAGATGGATTCTGCAGATTTCAATGAAGGATAAGATCAGAAATGAAGAAATCTGTAGACGACGTAGGGTGGTGGATGTGGTTGAGAAGATGCGAGAGGCGAGGTTACGGTGGATGGACATATCATGAGGAGGGATGTTGAGGAAGTAACAAAGAGGGTAATGGAATTTGAGGTGGAAGGTAACAGAGGAAGAGGCAGGCCTAGAAAGAGATGGATAGATTGTGTGAGAAAAGATATGGAGGTATGTGAAGTGAGTGAGGAAGATGTGCTCGACAGAGACAAGTGGAGAAGAGCAACCAAAGCAGCTGACCCCAGGACAGTCTGGGACTAAGGCTGTGAAAAAGAAGAAGAAGAAGAACCTAATAATAATAATAATTGCTTACACTTATATAGCACTTTTCTGGACACTCCACTCAAAGCGCTTTACAGGTAATGGGGACTCCCCTCCATCACCACCAATGTGCAGCCCCACCTGGATGATGCGACGGCAGCCATAGTGCGCCAGAACGCTCACCACACATCAGCTATCAGTGGGGAGGAGAGCAGAGTAATGTAGCCAATTCATAGAGGGGGAGTATTAGGAGGCCATGATTGGTAAGGGCCAATTGGAAATTTGGCCAGGACACCGGGGTTACACCCCTACTCTTTTCGAGAAGCGCCCTGGGATTTTTAATGACCACAGAGAGTCAGGACCTCGGTTTTACGTCTCATCCGAAGGACGGCGCCTGTTTACAGTATAGTGTCCCCATCACTATACTGGGGCATTAGGACCCACATGGACCACAGGGTGAGCGCCTGATGATCTATGGGATCTGAACTGCTCGACCCTTGATTAGTCCAGCATTAATGAAACCAAGCATGTCCCATTAAGAAAAGCGATAAACTAATGAATGCTTAACAAAAGCTGAAGAGATGGACTGAGAACATCTGCTGAAAAGATTTCCTGGCACTGGATCCCTGTTGCCTCTGCACATTTCATCCCAGCTTAAAACTACCCAGTCTCACTAATTATTGTCTTTACAGTCCTTACCAGCTGAAGAAATCTGTGCAGTGTGTAAGGCTCTTGATCTGAATTAATTGATAAAAACCAGCTGGACTGTGGCCCTGAACGTCCCAGACGTTGACAAACATGACTGACTTGGCCTGTTCTAGCTCAGATACAGTAACTATGTGGCTGTGAGATACCTTAACAGTCAAACAAGAGAAGTGCATGCCATTAGAAAATGGAATATACAGAACAGTCCCACCATTTTTGTGCTGTGACTTTGAGGGCAGAGACTGCATGATGCCGACCTTTTTCAATGCCTAGTACTTTGACACAGTTAAGGGGAAAAGATGCTATGCAAATGTTTTACAATAAAGCTCACCAAAGGCAACTTCAGGAGTCTGGTCACCTGTAACAGTAGAGGGAATCCTGACTCCCCTACAGAAATGTCGGTTACACTCTAAAGCAGCTAAGAGCAGCTCTGGAAGGAAACACACACATGACTTGGGTTAATGTTGTGATGCAGTGATGAAAAAAAAATTGTTTACATTTTAAAGTCTCCCACTAAGGTTGTAAACAGTTCCTGCATACCAAGAACTGCACTAAAATCATATGATTTATGTATTAATGTTTTAATGACACATAAAAATTAATATTGTACAAAAACTTTTCACATACCGATGGTACATCTGAGGTATTTTCTGTTTTTTAAAAAAGGCACCTGTGATATAATGTATTACCTTAATAGAGTATACTCTCCCCTAGTTTTTAATCGAATATCTGAAGTAGTATGATAAATGATAACCTTCTTAACAGTAATGGTGACATGTTAGAGTGCATTTAGCCTTCATGACGTCTTTTAAAAAAAAATCTTGAAAGACTGTTAATATCAAGTATTTAAACATTTCATGTAAGTAAACAGGAAGTGCATAAGTAAACTGAAAGGGACTGTATACGATTTACAATGCTGCACATATTCTTCGCTTTTATCCAAACGTTAAGGGCTCCAACCCTGTCGATTTCAAATTTCCGTGTGACAAAACTACACCAGTGAAAAGAGAAAAACTTATCTCTGCTAATGACCTCATGGGTGAACATCTCCAGTTCTGAAGAGCCGTGTTTTCTACATCCTATCCTATTTCTTAACTACCTGATTGCTACATACTGTAGAGTATTAGCTAAAAACTAGTTTCGTGTCTTTACTCCTTTGCTTACATAATAGCAGATATAAAGCGGATAGACTGAAATGTCTGTAGGGGAATATGCGCTACGTAGCGATGACAAAGTACAGCTTCGAAATCGCTGCGTACTGTATAAACTTTTATCAAATGGCAGCGTTAGGGCTCGTTTTATTCTACATAATGACAAACCACAAAGGTGAACCTTACTTTCTTGATACTTCCGAGACAAACAGAGGAAAGTTAGGAGACACCACTAAAGCGGCCAACGTTTGCGGCGCAGAAGTAAAAAATAAAGATCTTAAAGCTCACTTACTTGTCTTAAATGCTATACAAAACAAGCGTCACAGCTTTCGACTTGGCATCGAATCACTTTCCGACCATCAGCTGGCTGGAGAAGCAAGTGCAATTTTTAGACATACCAGGAGTCTTGAGAACTTCGAACTTTTTTCTCCTTTCCTCCCTCCCAGGGTCGGTTTCGCTTTCGCATACAGGAAGGGAGCTTGTGGAAATGGCTTCGCCTATTGGGTACATGAAATCATCTGACACGGGAAAGTCAGCCTTTTGGCTCAGCTGATTCAAGGTGGAGACCAGCTGGTGAAGGGAGTCTGTACACTAAATACAGTGGAGATCTGAGGTGTTTTGAACCTCAAGCTTTTATGCGAATTCGAGTGCAATAAAGTTACATACAAATATTTGCTGTGGTCCGCATGAACAGGAATAAACCCTTGAAAATACAAATAGATATAAGCGTTTCAATTATTTAAGCGAGGTGGAAGAGTGGACGAAAGTCGTTATATATATATATTTGAAACACCAAGTACGACTGACTTCAGCTGTGTGTAGTTTTTTAATGGTTATTTAGTAATAGCTTATCCTAGTAGGCCCAGGAAACATACTGTATCATTCATGAACTTTTACTTTTACAATGCTCCCATGACATTATTATCTCCAAATTTCACTTTTTATTATTTTATTATTTCATGTTTAATGCGAGGAAATCTGTATTTACAAGATAAAATATTTAAAATTTGAGTTTTTTTCCCCAATCTCTTTTAGTAGTTACTCTTTGTTTATGTAACAAAAACTCGCAAGAGTCATTTTCTAATGACTTCTGGCTGCCAATTTTCTGTTAATGAATTACAAGGCGAATAAAGGTAGCTTGAATTGTCTAAATAATTTACTTTGACTTTGAATTTTTGTATTTGGCTCACACCTCTTTTATGACTATTGGGTCATTGAAAATGACATCGCGGCCTTTGAAAACATTTGTCCTATTTTCCATTGGAATTGCAGAGCTTTTACTAATTCTTCAAAAACAAGCAAAAATAAATATAACATTAAATATATATATATAAATTCTGCACTGCGAAACAGCCTCCTGGCCTGATTCTTTTTCTATTTCATGATTTTTTTTAATTATTCATTTTTGTGTCACAGTGGCACAGCGGTTAGCAGGCTCAGGTGTTCCGAGTTCAGATCCTGGGATGCTGTCTGTGTGGAGTTTCTATGTTCTCCCTTCTTTGAGTGGGTTTCTTCTGGGAGCTCCAGTTTCTTCCTACAGTCCAAAAACAAACTTGCAGTTTAATTGGCTTCTGGGAAAACTGCCCCTGTTGTGAGTGTGTCTATGTGTGCCCTGCAATGGACCAGAGTCCTGTCCGGGGTGTATCCTGCCTTGCACATATTGTATGCTGGGATAAGCTCCGGCTCCACTGTGACTATGCACTAAATACAGAAGTTAGAAAATGGATGGGTAGAAGGATATATTGTGTCACATTTTACATATTAAAAAAACAATCACATAGGTGATTAACTATGTTTAAAGTACAAGTTTCATAAATGGATGTTTGTAGTGCCCATCCCTGTTCAGTGATTTTGTAGTTAAAAGCACTATAAATGTGGTCTCTGAGTTGAAAAGACCAACCTTCTCTCCTAAGGAGTAACATGTTTATTCCTGACAAGTATTAGTCAGTTCAGTGTAGTGTACAAGGAGCAGGAATGTTGGCAAACAGGACAGATCACACCCAGTAAGCTTGGGGAAGAGGTTATTAACACTGGCACTTTGTTAAAGGGTGGGGAAGATTTGGGTCTCGACTTGAATTATGACCTGCACCTATGATATGCTTTTAAAAGGATTTTCTCCTTTTGCTACCTCCTTATCAAATATTGTTTGTAAATATATGACCCTATGCATGTAAGGCTTTAGAAGTATAAAGTACTGTATATGGATTATATTTTAGATGCTAATAAATGTATTTGTTTTTTTCTTTCTTTTTTACATTGACTGTGACAAGCTTGAGTGACTGATTGTTGTAACTCTATACAGTCAGAAATGATTGAACATACAGTAGGTGATTTAATATGTTCAAAGTCAAGCCTTGTAAAAGTCAAGAAAAAATACAGAAAAGAGACACTCTTCCTTGCTTAACAAGAGAACAGAACCTTTGTTTCCCCCTGTATGTTGGAGGCTGTACTATATTATCTAAGGAGTGCTTATCAACAGTGGAACCAAGTCCTTTTTCAAGATGGATCAAGGTTTTGTGCAGTGCGTACTACAACATGTGTAGTACAAAAAAGCTGCATTATATGTTAAGTGTATCTACACTATATTTTATACTATAAAAAGTACACTTTTGACTTTATGGTTCGGTAAAGAAGAACAAAATGATAGGGAACAATGATCATCACTTAGACTGGATGGGTAATTGCGATGAATTAACAACATTCTATATTGGCTATACATGTATCACCTTGAGTTCTTTCAGTCTACTTGTGATGGTTCTAAATGTGAATGAAACACTGGTAAAGGTGAAGCTAGATTTCTTCAGACACAAACTACTGTGAGCTGGATTGCTAAGAGTCAATGAACATTCATTAATAAAAGTCAGTAAAAATGTTACATCTGCAAACTACTGTATACAATTTGTATGCATGAGAGTGTTGTGTGCAGTTTATTTATTTATGGATGTGAATTATACAGTACGTGCATGAATAATTTCATGTTTGTTTTCCTTCTTATGTTGTCATAGAAAAGTCCCAATGTGGTAGTCCTTTGTGGGATTAACAGAGTGTGAGCAGACCTCCCCTCTCAATCAGGTGCTACATTGTACGACAGCAGCTGTTCTTCCTGTTTTCTCAGAACCTGCTCGGTCACAATCTCCACCTGTGTGTGTGAGACACTTCTTTCGTACTGAAAACAGGTCTGTCACCCTTCAGTGACAAGAGAGAGAGAGCTCAGGCCACTCTCTCTGTGCCCTTGGCGGACTCCTGTATTTTCTCAGGCTTGTCTCCTTGCAGTATGACCACCAAACTATGGACAGAGGAGCAGTTCAACTGCCCCGTATGTCTGGATTTACCTAAGGACCCAGTGACTATCCCATGTGGGCATAGTTACTGTATGGAATGCATCAAGGACTACTGGGAGAAGGATGACCACATTGGCATCTATAGTTGTCCCCAGTGCAGACAGACCTTCTGCCCCAAGCCGGCCATCTCCCGAAACACCATGCTGGCGGAGGCGGTGGAGCAGCTGAAGAATGGAGGCCCCAACTCGTTTTCCCAGGCGGTCGTGCGGTCGTCCCTGGAGGTGCCTTGTGACGTGTGCCAGGACAAGAAGCTGCCAGCCGTGAAGTCCTGCCTGGTGTGTCTGGCCTCGTACTGCGAGGAGCACATCAGGCCACATTACCAGTCGGCCGCCCTCAAGAAGCACGAGCTCATTGGTGCCACTGGGCAGCTGGACCAGAAGATCTGCTCGGAGCACAAGTACCTGCAGGAGTTCTACTGTCGCACCGACCAGAAATTTATCTGCTGGCTCTGTACTAGCAACCATCACAAGGGCCATGACACGGTCTCCACCAAAACAGAAAGAACGGAGAAACAGGTACAGTACGATTCGTCCCAGTTTCCTGAATGTCTTTCTTTCTTGTCAGGTTCTTCATTTTTATTCTCATTATCATCACTGGTGTTTGCTGGTTAGACATTCCTGAAGAGCTCCTGGTCTCCCGTCAGCTTCTGTTCAAAGTGCAGCATGAGCCCTGCACCCCGGAGAACACTGTCCGGAATAAAAGTTCAACAATAAAAGAATTCCATGAAAAGATACTGGAGAAACATGTCTCTTTCTACAATAATCCAGGATATGGGTAATTAAAAAAAATAGTGTGAATAGAGGTCAGTAAACCTGGAAGCAATCTGTTTTTGCAACTTGGGCTGGCAGGAGGACAACTCTAGTTACAAGGAAATAATTTCTGATAACCATTAACATTAAATAAAATTGTCTAAACATTAATGAATGCATGCAGAATGAAACACACACCAGTGTATATATAGTATGTGTTCATTATTACAATTTTCATTTTAATCTTCTTACTTATTTTTACGTTTTCAACAGCAAACATCAAAGAGAACCTTGGTTGAGCTATTCTTCCACGCTTAGTCA